GTATAGTGAATTAGAGAGCTGCTTTCTCCCCCAAAGTAGATCATTTGATCGAACTGGATAAACAAACCTTCGGTTTTTTCTTACCTTATTCTGTTATGTTATCTGTGTATGGATCATTATTGCTGAAGATAATTTATTTTGGTTGCTATTGTTCTTTGCCTCACAAATTAATATTGAATTTTATCGTAATTCACAACAAGATTCACAATAAGTGGTGCGATGAGCGCGAAACAAAGAGATATTGTTGACAAGTGAGCACCATGGTTAGTAGATGATAGATCGAGAAGTTTTCCGGTAACAACGACTTCGGGTTGTGGAAAATCAAGATGCAAGCAATTTTAATTCAAGAGAAGTGTATCGATGCTTTGAAAAGTTAAACATTGATGCCTGCAGGGCTTACACAGGTACAGAAGATTGAGATGGTGGATAAGGCCAGGAGTGCCATTTTCTTGTGCCTCGGGGATAAAATTCTAAGAAGTCGCCAGGGAGCAAACTGTGGTTGCTATGTGGGTAAAACTTGAATCATTGTATATGACAAATTTTTTGACTCACAGGTTGTATTTGAAACAACAACTCTATTCATTCCGAATGGTGGAGAACAAATACATAGTTGAACAGCTCCCAAAATTTCACAAGATTATCGATGATCTTGAGAATATTGAAGTGAAGATTGATGATGAGGACAAGACTTTGCTCTTGTTGAGTTTATTACCCAAATCCTTTGAGCACTTTAAGGATGCCCTTCTTTATGGTAAGGAAGGTACTATTACTTTGGATGAAGTCCAGACGACGGTGAAATCCAAAGAATTTTCAAAATCGAAAGATTTGAAGATTGAAGATAGTGGTGAAGGCTTAAATGTGTCAAGAGGAGGAGGTGAGCGTAAAGGGATGTCCAAATCAAAGAGGTCTGACAAGTCAAAGGTAAAATATTTTAATTATTAGATAATCGGTCACTTTAAAGGGGATTGTCCTGAAAGAAAGGTCAATGACAATTTTGTTCAAGCTGTAGTTGCATTGGGTGAGGGAAGTTATGAGGATGTCGAAGTATTAGTAATATCGAGTTTAGAAACTGAAGATAGTTGGGTCATTGACTCAGGTTGTCTTATCACATGTGTCTAAGAATAAAATACTTTGAAACTTTGAAGATGGTGCAAGGTGGAGTAGTTCGCCTTGGTCATAATAAGGCATGCAAGGTTCACGGTATTGGTACAGTCATATTTAAAATGTTTAATGATCGTGAACTTTTTATTCATAATGTGAGGTATGTTCCAAAACTCAAGCGAAATTTGTTATCTATAAGTATGTTTGATGATTTAGGATATTGTACTAGAGTTGAACGGGGAGTGTTGAAGATTTCGCATGATGAATTGATTATTACTAAAGGGTCTAAAATATGTGGTTTATATATTTTAGAAGGTTCAAATTTTATTATTCATTCATCATTAACTAGTGGAGGCTTTCATGACAAGGAAGAGCTATGGGATTTGAGTTTAAGGCATTATGAATGCCTTGAGAAAGTTTCATAGGAGTACAATTAATTTTGCAGAAATTAAGCGATAAAAATGCATGTTACCGCTGAGTTGTTATTGAGTTTTTGGAGAAGAGATGGGGTTAAAACAACTTACTTGGTTGATAGAGAATTTCTTTAGAAGAAGAATAATGAAAACCAAGGAAGAAACCTGAGAGAAACTATAACGGAGAAAACTCAGTTTGAGGTGGAGTTTCCTACTACGGATGCTAGCAGTAGTGAAAGAACGGCTACAAAGATCTCTGATTATCATTTGACTCATGATAAGGTAAGGAGGTTATTGTAGCATCTCAAAGGGACAATTATGCTAGCCTTGGATATTATGTTTTTAATGTGGCTGAAAGACTGCAAAATAAAAGAAGAAAAACCTTCAGGGAGGCATTTGAAAACAGGTGGAGTAAAGGGTGGTTGAAAAATCATACTTGTAGGATTGTTAAATTAACTAGGCAGAAAAGGGTAAATGGGAACAAGTGGATGCAAGTTGCGTTTTTAAGATTCAAGGGTTGCTTGAATTTGATCAAAGTTATTGATTAAAATTTCAACTTGGTAGAGAGCAGCAATGTTGTTGATTGTTAAATTGGCATCAACACGGTTTAAAGTCAAGGTGGAGATTGATATAAATGTGCCTTAAAACCTTTGTTGATGAAGAGAAAGAAAACACATTTTGAAGATTGCATTTACCGCGAAAATCAAACGAAAAGCCGAGAAAAAAATAGGTCGGTGAATAGTGTCGTCCGTGCGGTAAATAGTATTATCCGTACGGATGAATAGTGACATTCGTGCGATGAATAGTGTTGTACGTACGGTGAATAATGTTTTTGAGTTTTCGGGCTTTTGATTCGGTCCATGGATCCATGTGATTTTGGGCTTTGTTTGTTTGGGTATTTGTTATTATAAATATGTATCTCTTATATGTTTGGTGTGTGACAATCTTAAAGTTTACACCAACAAGGAAGAACAAGGGTTTAAAAGTATAACATATGGTTTCGATTATGCATAAAGAAAATCTTGGATTACACATTGGGTTTGAGTGATTCATATATTGAGAGCTAGAGAGGTTGGGAAACACTTGTGTAGAAAATAGGGTTGTTCTTGGAAAACTGAAGGCGAAGATTATTTTCTTGTAACTCATCTGTAATCTCTTGTAACAATTTTCTGAGTATAATGAATTGAAGAGCTACTCTCTCTCAGAGTAGATCGTTTGATCGAACTGGGTAAACAAACCTTCAGTTTTTTCTTACCTTATTTTGCTATATTATCTGTGTACGAATTATTATTGTTGAAGATAATTTATTTTGGTTATTATTGTTCTTTGCCTCATAAATTGATATTGAATTTTGACGTAATTCACAACAAGATTCAAAACAATCTTGATTTGATTTTAAATGGACATCTATATTTTTTTTGTCGCACTTTATCTAACACTATCATATTTTCACATTTATCACAACCAAATATTAATTTGTTGCTTCTTCTTCTTCTTCCCATTAAGCATCTAAATTGAATAATTATAACAATTACTTTATGTCTGATTGTAACCTTCTTGATCCACGTCATTATTTCTTCTCATGTATCAATTTTTTTTTTGCAATTAAGAATGCTTCTGTAGTATCAATCTATATCATATTTTTATCGAATATTAGAGCAACTTTAACGCAAGGTTGTTAAACCAAAATTCTTTATAGCTTACGTTAGTAATAAGGAATTTGCATTATAGGAGAGCTGACATGGCATCCAAATGAACTAAAATTTAGTTCCCATTCTCTATATAGTTAACGTTAACTATTCATGTGAAACTTATTATAATATTATTTAATATTAATAAAATATTTCAAATATTCCAACAATATTAAAGTAAGGATATGATATTTGAAAATAGTAACAGTCATATTATCATTTTTTACCTTCTATAAATTCTATAGAAATTTTAATTTTTTTACACACAGTTTTGCTTCTAAATTTTTTTCTATCAATTTTCAATCTTATTTATTTATCAAATGGATCCCAACCAATCGAATCTTTATTATAATTATATTTCTATGAAAATCTAATTTTTTTAATGTATTATTGTTGTGAATTTTGTATCATTTTTAATTTTATAATAAAATATATTTAATATTATTTTTAAGTTTTTATGGTAAATTTTATTTAAAAAATTATATGTATTTTAATTAAAATAATTAAATTAAATGTAACTTAAATAAATAATAAAAGATGTGGGGTCAAGTTTTGGTTTCTTATAGACAACCATCCTTAAAGTAAAAACTACTCAAATCAACTATAAATTTTTTAAATCCTACAAATCAATTTAGACCCACAAAAAGTATCTTAGTTTACTCCCACTAAAAATACTCTTATAAAAGGATTTCCATAACTGAGAAATATAAAAAAAAGATTTAAAAAAAAATATGTACTAAATAATTTATAGGTAAATTATCTAATAGACAAAATAAAAACTACCAAAATACTTATTACTAAATTATTCTGTAAAAATTATAATATCAAATAACTTTATGTAAATAATCTCATAACTATATAACATTAACAGAATAGATTATAAATTTTCAATAAAGAAAAATTTCAACCTAAATACTTTGAGCAAAATTATCGGACACACTGTCGGGGAGTGTGAAATGGTTTAATTTTAAAATATTTAATTGTGATCTTAAAATTTAGATAGTAAAAAGATTTGATAAATAAAAATGATAAAATTAAAATATTTTGAAATATATAGAAAGTGAAGGTTAATGTTTGAGGTATAGTGTAAAATTTTAATTTTCTTATATTTAAGGTGAGATAATAAAAATAAAAAAGAAAAAATTGTCCCTCGCAATGCAAGGCACATGCAATGCAGCCTCAGCTCTGACACTGCAATCGACAATGCACGCGAACAATTCCATACTCAACTGCCCAACCAGACACGCGCCGACCAAATCGTGCGCCAACTCGTTGCTTTGTCACGGCATGTTCTCTCTGACGTGGCCATATCCGCACCACTCTCACTCACCTACTAATACTACTAATTTCGCAACTTTTTCTCTCTAGAATATCACAAGTTCCTTTTATTCATATAGAAAAATATATATTAAGATTTTTTATAGTACTCCTATATTTTAAAATATGAACCGTTGGATCTTCACTAAGATCGAGATTATTGACTGCGATGACCCAGTAATCGGTGCTTAGTTGGAAACCATTCCACACATTTTCATTGTAACCGTCTTACTACAGTCTCTTCTTTACGGAGTTGCTTTTGTTTCTTCTTCTTTTTTTTATTTAATTTTTTCTTTTAAAAAAACTTTTTACAATGAATCATCCTCTTTGATTTCTTCTATTTAAAAACTTAGCTTCGCGATTACGCAAAAAGATTAAAAAAAAAAGAAAAAAGAGATACTATCATTTGTGTTGATTTCAATTTATTTTCTCCAGCACATGCTGTGTGTAATGATTTTCACTTTCACACACAAGAGTAATGGCGGAACCGAGAGGAACCACATGGTGGAGCGAGGAGTTAGCGAGTTTGATGGAGAATCCGTTACCGGAACAAACCCCTTCCACGGCGTCGTTTGAGGTGAGAAAATCGGAACATGAAGTAGTAGCTGAATCTGGAGGTGGAGAGAGTTTGAAGGAGCACGCGGTTGGGTTTTTGATGGCTTGGTGTGAGATACTTATGGAGTTCGGTAGAGGATGTAGAGACATTATCCTGCAACAGAATTTCTTGAACGACGATTCTTATCTTGTGAAGAACCTTCGTGGACCTTGTTCTAAGGTTTCTAAGAGATTAAGGTTTTTGAATGACTTTTTGCCTGAAGATCGTGATCCTGTTCAAGCTTGGTCTATTGTCTTAACCGTTTTTCTTCTTGCTTTCGCAGGTTTTTTTTTAATTTAATTCATTTAGTTTTAGTTTACTTTCCTAGTTCGTCAGTTGCAATAAATTTCAATTTCAATTTGGTAACCTAGTTTTGGTGATGAGTGATTGATGATAACTAGGCTTAGTTGCTATTTTTGTGGATTTTGTATTTGTTGTTGACTAGGTCTTTCTTTGAAGATGAAATGATATATTAATATGTAGTACGAAAACATAGGATTAGTTCAATGTTGTTAATGTTATGTTCCAAGTTCAAGTCTTATTAAGTTAACCTTGTTGTTACTGGTGATTAGTTAGTTGGTTATTAGTAAGTGTTTTAGTGTTTGTAAAGCGATTATTACAATATTAGTAAGTACTTATATATGTGATGTGATCATTCATTTCCTCCTTGTTGATTTTCTATCTCTGTGTTGTGTTCTATGAATTTTGGGGGAAAAAGATACTATTTAATTGTTTACCGATGATTTTTGCTATCGTTATGTAATCTGGGTTTGGCTTAAGGTTTGCTGACTTTTTGTTGATAAATTGTTTGCAGCTATAATTCTAGATTCTAATCATGAAACCTTAACCAAAGCGGTGATGTTGCGAATGCATCCTCCTATTGCTAGCCGCATATTGCTTCCGGATGGTAGATACCTTGCTTATCATGATCAAGGTGTTTCTGCTGGCAGAGCTAGATTTTCCCTTGTTGCTCCGCATTCTTTTCTTTCATCTCGGCTGGCAGGTAGAATTACATGCTTATCCTTTTAAGGATTCAAAACTTGTGCACTACGAAAATTGAGTTATTGTCTTCTAACTTTTTTTACTGCCTTTTTTAATCACGTTAATGGTAGGTATTCCTGGGGTTAAAGCGTTGTTGCTTGAAGAGTATGGAGTTCGCTTGGTCACTTATGATCTTCCTGGTTTTGGGGAGAGTGATCCACATCCCAACCGAAATTTCAATTCATCGGCTATGGATATGTTGCATCTAGTCAATGCTGTCAATGTAACCGAAAAGTTCTGGGTCCTGTGCCATTCAAGTGGATGCATTCATGCTTGGGCTTCGCTCAGATATATTCCTGAGAGAATTGCAGGTTTCTCTCCCTTTTCAATATTTTTTTGTCTCGATACCTTTGACGGGTTCATATTAAACTCCGCATATGAAAAGGGTTTACAAGTTATAATAACAAATTTATAATGTGAACACTAGTGAACTTTTTATTATGATATGTGACTCTATCTCGATTCATGCAAGTTATTGTGAAAAAAATGTCAATTGTGGTTATACCAATCTAATAATTTCTAGTTGTTTGCGTACCTCTGTTGATGATTTGTAATTTTACATAAAATTGCAGGTGCTGCAATGCTAGCTCCTATGGTTAATCCTTATGAGTCACACATGACTAAACATGAGATGAAAAGAACTTGGGAGAAGTGGCTTCCAAGGAGAAAATATATGTATTCCTTGGCTTATAGATTTCCAAAGCTTCTCTCTTTTTTCTATCGGAAAAGTTTCTTGCCGGAAAAGCATGACCGGATTGACAAGCAATTTTCACTTTCACTGGGAAAGAAGGTAAGCTGCAATAACCTTTAAGTCGAATTATGTTGTAAGGGATAATACATGTATTTCTTTAATAAGCAGTTGAATGTGGAAGAAAATTTAGGGCTGTTATGATCTGTTGACAAATCTAATTCGTATGTGTTGTTCAGGATGAAATTCTCGTCGATGAACCTGCATTCCAAGAGTTTTGGCAGAGGGATCTAGAGGAGTCAGTTCGCCAGGGAAACATGAAACCATTTATAGAGGAGACTGTGCTGCAGGTATCTAAATGGGATTTCGACATTGAAGAACTTCGAGTACATAAGAAGTGTCGAACAGGAAGCTTGCTTCTTTGGTTGAAGTCCATGTACGGTCAGACAGAATGTGAACTTGCAGGATATCTAGGCTGCATACACGTATGGCAGGTTTGAACATGTTCTTCTCTGAGTATTGGTGATATAATTATTCTGTAATTTCTCATTTTTTGACTTGGAATTCAACTCAATTCAATTTAGGAATCTTACAATTTCCTTTTGAATTCTCGATCAGGGATTGGACGATAGAGCAGTCCCACCATCAATGATGGAATACATAGAAAGGGTGTTACCAGAGGCAGTAATCCACAAGCTTCCAAACGAGGGCCACTTCTCCTATTACTTTTTCTGTGATGAATGTCATAAGAAAATATTCTCCACTCTTTTTGGAACTCCTCAAGGTCCAATTGAACGACAGGAGGAAACTGCATTCGAAGATGCTTTACAAGTATCTGTTTCTGATACGGAATGATACGAAACTGCTGGTAAACAGAGTTAGGTTTGGATGTAAATAACACAGGCGGCTCCTATACGCACAGTAAAGCTTCAATGGATAGAGTTTTCAGTAATCAGAAGGAATCTTAAGTTTTGAACCACAAAAGCTTTTGGAGATATAGGTAAAAGTGTGCCACCTACATTGCTTTTACTAACCTTCCACTGTCCAAATCAAAACTGTATCTTAACTGTATTATCAGATTTAGAGTGTTCATCCGGGCGACAGTTAACTCAGCGGCAAAACCATGCCTGTTAATTAGTACACCACTTATCTTCTCCTCGTCTCTTTTTATCATTTTATCATCTTTCTGGTTTTCGTATAAAAATTCCAACTTTTTCTTCAAGCGGAATCCTTCTACTTTAAAAAAGCAGTGGATAGAGACAATAAAAAGAGGTAGTGGTCAATATTTCATTTCAAACTTAGGAATAAAGCTTGCTTAAACGTCAAGCTAAGTGGTAAACATGAATACTTGTAAGTTGTAACGAACAAAAGTAGAAACCAACATAAGTGTTTTTCCCTTTTTTCCCCTCTGTTTTCCACCTATTATCCTGACAAACATGGTGGTTTGAACAACCATTGTGATAATTGTTTACTGGTTGGTTAATGTAGTTTAAATCTGCGTGTAGTTGAATACTTGAGAGTAATAATTAACCACATCCAAATGTTAATTTGATCAGCAATTAATGATTTTTGACCTCTAAACTGTAAATTTTTATATATACAACAAACAGGATGTGCAGACTTTATAAGCTGCCACAATCTATGCTCTCATGTAACTTGTCCTAGTTTAATGAGTCAGATTCAAATGACATAGGATATGACATAGACCTGATTGTTTTATCTTTGAGAAAATATATTTATTTCAATAATAAAAACCAATTTTGACATTCAGTTTTTATATATACATTATTATAAAGTAAAATGTAATTAAAATTATATAACTTCTTAAAAAGATATATTTCAAAAATATTTATAAAAAAAACTTTTTTAAAATATCTTAAAATTCGAGTGTTTTTTTAGTTTTGATATTTAAAAAAGTTAAGTATATAGATAAACTATTTAAAATAATATTTTATAAAAATCTATTTAAATTATTTTTTATTAAAAAACTTTTTATATAAAAATATATAATTATACAAAAATCAACTTTAAAAAACTGAAATAACAATCAAGTTGCCTTGTCTCATTTAATAGAATTGGTTACAAAGATCAATTTTTACCATAATATTAAATCGTGAATATAAAAGAAAAATTAACTACTTTATTAATAATGGTCAATTTTTTTATACTTTTTCTCTTCCCTACTCATTTATATAGTTAGTATTAATATTATTATATTGTGACATATTTTATGTATGCATTTTAAAATAGTAAATTATATTTTTAAAGTTTTATTTGTAATTTACGTTCATGTGAAATTGAAGAATAAAAATATTGGAAAAAACCGTTTCACAAAACTCACATAGAGTTTATATAGAGTGATATTCTTTATCTTACAAGTCGGCTTTGTAGAGATTAATTAGGTCAAACTCTAATGTTATCATGATATTAGAACCTATCGATTCGGGTTACCCAACATTTGTGTAAGCGCACAAAGTCCAAAAGTATTGGGCGTAAGGGGTGAATTTGAAAAACCAAGTCTTATATATCGATAATTCGGACAATCTACTGTTTATATCCACACACCAAGTCTTATATATTGATAATTCGGACAACCTACTGTTTATATCCACACACCAAGTCTAATAGTGTTGGACGTGAGAGATGTATTGAGAAAAATCTAAGTCCCACATTGATTATAAATAAAACTCAGAAAAGATTTATATAGATGGACACCCTTCACCTTACAAGCCGATTTTATAGGAATGAGTTATGCAAAACTTTAATTCTATCAAAAGGTTTTTTGTTAAGGTAATTTATATTTGGAACCAATCCTGTTTTTGTATAGTCTCATTTTATTTATTTTTAATTAAATATTGTCTTGAATATATTTTACATTAGATTCAAAATCAGGAAATATTATTCATGCGTTCGGAGATACATTTTCGAATACATTTAAAATCATACAAAAATATACTTTTCTAATAATCACTCCATTTAAAAAAAAATCGAAAATGCATTTCTGTATTTTATTTGGGTGTATTCGGATATGCATCTCGGAAATAATTCATGCGCTCGATTGTAATTCACGCAACTGTTTTAAATAACAAGTTAATGATATTTTCAAAGATGCGTTTGCGGAAATGCCCAACTTGATTTGAGGACGAAGTTGCACAAGCTCCATCTTCATGCTAAAAGAAGAAACTCAATTTCAAAACCCTTATGTATGGACTAAGTTTGCATTCATTGTATAATACATAGGACGGAGTTTGCACTCACTGGATAAGGCTTTGTTTTAATGATGATGGTGTGACGAAGGATGATAAATCAAATATGTATATCAAGACCGAGTGAAAAGTAATCCAAGAGAGGCTCATGAAAGTTGAAGACATCGTGAAATTGGATATCCAGAAACAACAGATTTGAAACCACTGTCGGAACTGATTAAAACAAAGGGTGCCCTTAAAAAGATAAAACTGACTTAAAGTGAGAACTATACGAGACTATCTCCTTCGTACTTTGAACATGTTGACTCATATTTTCCAAATTTTTCAACTCCAAAATCCCAAAAAAAAATGTTCAAGGGTGCTCGCATTAGCAAACCATCTTTTCCAACGCTGTTACCAAAAATAAAATTCATTGAAGAGATGTCGTTTTTATGCACAAATACAACAAGCAAATTGTAAATGTTGAAGTGCCGATAATTGTGGTTTTCGAGCTGTTTTAGATTTACTCGGTAAAGGAGAGTAGGACCACCAATTTATTTATCATCATCTTATACAAGAGATGATGACGCATAGAAATCATACACAAAGTTATACGGGAATAAATATTTGTACCTTGTCTTAGCAGTCCGACTCCGTTTGAAAAATTGATGTGCTCTCCAGAAATGGAACATCTTATAAGCAAGTGATTATGATAGAGTGTGCATTAATTTAATATGATATGATTTCTCAGAAATATTCTTTCCACTTCAGAGTAAGACATCTCAAAATCCATTTGAATGCATCATATGTATTGGTTGGCTATCAAAAAAATAATATTTTGTGCAGGTTTATTTGAAACTGTGATGTCTTATACCAAAGACACCACTGAAGTGGACGACACGTTTCACACAAGATTCTGAAACGTGGTTGGATAAATTTTTTGAAAGGATGGAAGAGTTCATCAAGTTGAGCGACATTGAATGAGAAGCAAATAAGGAAATGCCGAAGAATGAGCCACCAATAGAATTAGGTAGTGATGTATGTTTTGATGCGTTTTAGTTGTAATCTAACAATGTAACACATTTTTTTAAGTAATGCACTGCATAATGTTATAAAATTGAGTAGTATTTTTTGGATAATTTTTGTTTTTGAAATTCTGCTTTGCATAATCAATTATACATTACATAATCATTTGGTTATCTTCTGCATAATTTTTGAGTGGTTATGGAGATGAATCTTCGAACACACCTTCTAATTATTTAAAAAAAATAGAGGATCATCCAGAGATGCATCTCCAGATAAACCCTTAATTTTTGAAAAAAAGAAAGTGGATCTGAATATGTATCTCTGAAGTTTTTCCTACATGTATGATCTTATTTGTAAGGTCCTTATTGCTCTACAACTTCTATAATATAATATATCATTCTATTTTCTTTACACAAATCAGAATAACTACATATCCCCATCTTGCATTTGTATATTTCAATAATGCAAAATTCTCATTTCAATTTCGAATTTTGAGAGGACATATTTCATGTCGATCTAAAAATCAAACTAAATGCTCTCCTGTGATATTCAAAAAATCAGAGAGTCATCAAACTCGAGTACCGTTCACCCTCGATAGACAACGAATGAAAGATATGGTTCACCATGCTTGACTGAAGACGAGTGATGATTTGAAGGTTATGTACCTTTTACCGTTACTCAACAAATGATCTGATTGAAGTAGATGCCCCAATTCAAAGACCACTCGAATGTATTATAAGAATGTTGCAATGTCCTAAAACACTTGCTTTTTTGTTAAATTTATGTAATGTTTATCTACGTGATGTTTATTTTAATGTTAATTTATGTTGATTTCTCATTCCGCCATTATTTCTATTTGTTCCTGTTTTGAACTAACAAAGTATGTAATACATCTCCAAAATGCTCATAGACTATTGAACTAAGGGAATTACAAAGATATATTTTCGAATAAATCTTGTGCATATAAATATGTATCTCTTAAAATTTAACAAAATTAAAGATTTTTCATCAATTTCGCCTTAGTTGTGTGTAGAAAAGGCGTGTCCAAGACGTTAAAAACATTTTAGTCTTTTCACAACAAAGGAGAAAATCCCTAAGAATGAAAAAACAATTCTCCTAAATAATTAATTTGACTTAACGTTAGGGCCGGATTCGGCCTGGTCCACGTTTAGTTCTATTATTGTTTGTTAACTTTGAAATGAAATTATGTATTATATTATATGTATCTAACAATCTGACAACGGATTCAATTATTGTTCAACACATTCTATTCTTCTGAGATAACTGAAAATTCAAACGAAGTTGACAAAAATGGACCATATAAACAGTGATAAAGAGAGATCATGCATAGTACTACTATTGTGAGCTGGAAGACCCCACTTCAACCACCTATTGTTGATAAACATATACATCTATACACAAACCAACAATAAATAGATAAAATAATGTGTTGTTAGCATTGATCATTTTCTCTCTCTCAAGCCCTACCAAATGCTAAGAAAAACAACAGCAGCACCAGAATCAATTATGAGTCAAAAAAATCAAATTTGTACTTATATTACATCAAGAATCAGGAGCTTTAAATTTCAGTTTATGGTGAACAAAAAAAACAAAGAGGATCATTTTCTGTCACAAACCAAATTTGTTCCCCTCAGTGTAAATGATAGAGAATGTGAATAAAAATACAAATAGATGAATATATGGTAAGTAAAACAATTTTCACCCCAAATCAAAAGCCTACATGAAATGTTAGGATACACATAAAAATAGGACAAATAAATAAATTTAAAGAACACTCAATGTAAATGAACTTTTGTTTTTATTTCTTCCCTGATATATCTTCAATCCTACTTTAATGATTTCAATCCTTTCACTCTGATTATTATTTAATCAACTGGCCACACCATTGTCCACAGTGACCTCTGCATTTACGGCGATTTCTACCTTCGGTGGACCTGAATGGCGTCTTGGCCTGGCGGGTGAAGCCGGGAAAGAAAGACGCTTCTTTGCGGTCCCAAAGGACCCCTTCTCTTGTTTGCCGTTTTCTTTAGCTAATGGACTCTGACTTTGTGTCCTAGACCTAGCTTTTGCAGATTGAGTCGGCACCATATAGCTCGGAACTGATGGAGAGCTAGCGAGACTCTCATCGTCTCTAATTGATGACCCGGCTATAGAGTGCCTACGGAACCGATCCGACTGTACACTGGCCATGCTTTTGGAGTCTTCTTCCATAATCCAGCTTCCCTTTGGACTTGCCTTCTTCAATTTCCTCGCAACTGCTGCAGAAGCTGGCTTAGGAGTTGTTGAATTTGACTGAAAGCTCGGCGAGCCTGGATTCTGGCTGGCTGCTGGAGAATGTATTTCGGAATTCAGCTGGAAACGGGCAAATGATTTGCTGATTTCTCCACCTGTAATGCTGCGGCTCGAACTTTTAACAGATGAATGGTCATTCAGTTCTTTATCCATTAGGCCACGGCTCTCCCAAGGCCGGGCAGCCATCCATCGTTCAAGCCAGCTCCAGCCCCACGTAGGATTGGTTGGATCCACGAACATTGGATTCATAGGTCTAGACGAATTCTTCCCGTTTTGCTGTCATAGTATTACACTTGCAATTGTAAATCAAATCATAGGCATATATTTCTATTCATTCCATAATATAGTTACACGTTCAGTTAGTGGGAATATTTTCTATTTTCATTTCATGTTTCTAAATATAGTTACAAAAACTCATTATTTTCATTTATTGTTTCTAAATATTTCTATAGAAAAGAGTACTTTCCCCCTTGTTTTCATTCTCTTCTATATAGAACTTCAACAATAGGAAACCAAATAACAAAAGTAATAAAATTGTAATTATTAGTAAAAAGAAGAAATTTTAAAAATATTCTCAAACTAAATAGATTATGAGTTTTAGGTAAAAAGATAAACAACTTCAAGTAATAAGGAAACAACAAATAAATAGGTGATTCGACTTGTATAAAGCAAACTTTCACTATAAATGATACACATCTTAACCGTTGATGTGAAAATCGCCAGTTGACATTTTAACAGATCTATAATTTGGTATGCAATATCAAATTTTCATCAATGGTTGACATGTCTTACATTATTCTCTAATGTGAATTACTCGATTTAGATTAGGTCCAATATATTATACAGCATATACAAAAGCTTGGATTCTCATTTTTTAATTCTTGAAATCATGTGATATTCCGTTTCATCTAAGCATTTTCATCTATTTCCTCGCATATCTAAGTTAACAAGAGAATTAGAAAACCTGATGAGTGAATGCATAAGCCATTGCTCTTTCTCTTCTTATAGTAGCCTCGTACTTGCTCATTAATTTGGCTTCAATTTGTTCTTTTGATTGTAGGCTATCATCCCATTCTTCTCCAATCTATCATCAAGATTTGGAACAAGTTAAAATCGTTACAAACACAGTCAAATACGCATTGGCACAATGTCAAGAGATTATTATCCTTTCAAAAAAAAAAAAATTAAAGAAAACCAACACAGACCCGCATGGTCTCGAGCTCTCTTGCATGCTTCTGTAAGAGCTGTCTTTGCAAAGCCTGATTCTCCTCTAACATTCTGGCCCTCCTGGAACGAATCTGAGATTGCACACGAGCTAACGTCTGCATTGAGCGGAGGGTACTCATGGCTTGACGTTTCACAATCGGCCCTTCCATCAATGTTTTCAATCTGACCAACCCTCTTAAGGCCCGCAACGCTCTTCGTGCCTAAACGATTTTAAAAGAAAGTTTAGTTCAAAAAGTATTTCAAAGAAATAATTTTCTTTTGCAGGAATTTGAAAATGACAAAAAGATTAGTACAACGCATACCAAGTATCCACGAAAAGCTGTTTGAATCTTGATTGCCGCCACTTCATCTTTTGGTTTACCAGCATAACGAGCTGCCACGGAAACTTCATTCCTAACAACTGGTGCTGGAACAGAAGGACCGGGTTCCTCACTAACCACGGCAGTTGTAATTTCAGGAACATGATAGTGATTGTTTTGGTTTTCAATATCAGTTAATTTAACATCTTCCGGTGGAGGAAGCGGCGGCGCCGTATGTTCTACGGAAGGGTCTGAACTCTGCAATTTCTGCTTCCCAAACCATTTCTTCTTTGATTTACTTGATTTCTACCGCAACAACAAAAATTGTAAAAGTATAAGAAAAAATCACAGAAAAAATTGAGCTAAATTTTATATAATTTTTATTACCTTTGAATCAGGGCTGAGAGCTTTCTTCACTGTAGAAAACCAATTTCCCTTTTTCCCCATTCTCTTCTTGGCATTCCTTAATTGGATCTTTACTTCATAAAAAGAAAGAAAAAATTGAAGATCTAAAATCTCAATATCCAAATCTTGTAAAAAAAATTTTTTTAAAATTCACACCGAAAAGGAAATTATCTGTGTGGAACAGAAAAAACTAGATTCAACCGGTTAAATTACAAGATTTTCACAAAAAAGGGGGAAAATTCAAATAATAGCAACAAATAAAATAAAAATTAGAAAATTGAGGGTCGAATCCAATCGAATAGGAATAATAATGATAATACCTGAAGTGAAAGATCTGAAGAAAAAGAGTGTGAGTTGAATTGAACCAACCAAACAGTAGCACCTTTCTCTCTTCCTGTAAAGAGGGGAAAAATTCAGATCTTGCCAAATAACAAAGAGAAGAGAGTTTGTTTTTGTTTGTTTGAAAAATAAGAACAGCTGTTTCTGCTAATATTGTGACATTACCACTTCAGTGGGTCCCACTGGACCCCACTAGATGTTTTACTTGTTGAAAATTATTAATCCTAGATTAACGGTGTTACTAATCATGATTAGGGTGGTGTTGATGTTTGATCAAATTTTCTCTAATATTAGAAACTAGATCAAATAATATAGTCTAGTTTTTGTTATTAATAAGATATTATCTGCAAACCAATTTAGAGGATATGCGGAGTAGTTTAATTAGAAAGTGATAATTGAGTTAAACGAGTATAATTTACTAATTTAGAAAAAAAAAATTAATTAAATTTTTTTAAAAATTTATGAATCCCAAAAATTATAATAATTAATAAAATTAATTCAAAAAAAATTTAATTGAAATGTATTGTATAAAGAGATTTTACACTATTAATTAATTATAAATATTGAATGATAAAAGAAAATTTGAATTTTATTTTAATAATTTGTAATATAATACAAATGAATGAGGATTATAAATTGACAATTTAAATTTTTTTACACTATCAATATATAATAATTAATTTCTTTAAAAAAATTAATACAATTAAAATTTGAATACGATTTAAATTTAGAACTTCACATAAATATAATTAAATAGAATGTGATATATTAAAATAAAACTTTTTGGTTGAAGTTATATATTATATAATGGAAAAAAATTGTTTTAGAATATTTTTGGAGCATTAGTTAGTATTTTAAAACTAAACATTTTGTTTGGAAAACTCCAATTTTAAACTTATAGTTTATACTTTATAATAATTTAGACTTATTTAGTAATAGTAGAAAACTACGAATTTATTGAGTTTTAGTTTATAGCTTTTACTTTTTTAATTTTAATTCTTATTATTTTAATAAAAATTCTTTTTTTTTATAATTTATTTTAATTTAAAATAAAATAAATATGTATTAAATATCTTTTATATTATTTTAGAGTTGAACCGTTAATTTTATTAAATACTTTAATTAATTTATTAGTTATCAGTCATCTATCCGCTATAAACTACAAATTTATGGCGTTTTAGGTATAGTTTATAGTTTATCATATTTTCTTCGATTTTAATCCTTACTATTTTAACAAAATCTATTTTTTATCTTTTATAATTTATTTTAGTTTAAAATAAAATAAATATGTATTAAATATTTTTTATATTATTTTACAATTGAACCGTTAATTTTATTAAACACTTCAATTAATTTATCAGTTATTAGTCAACTATCCACTATAAATTATAAACTATTATACCATCAATCATAAATTATAAGTTAGCTTATCAGTCCACTACTATTTTTTGAGAAAACAAAACTTAAATCATTTCAAAGAAATTGAAATTAAGTAATTTAATTTTTTTTATATAATTTTATTTATTCTTTTACTTTAGAAAAAAAATAATTATTCATCAGTTACTTGATATTCTTTTAGTTTAAGTTTTATTAAGTCTTACATTTTTCTCTTCGATGAATAGTCTAACCTATTTAATTAAAAGACAATGTAATTTGTTCCAATTTAATTAATATGAAGTTAAATGAATTTAATATATTTCAACTTTTTATTTCGTTTTATGACACGTTTATAAATTGTTCCTGGCATATATAATATATTTTTAAGGAGTAATTAATATATTTTCAAAACGTAGAAAAAGTAGTAAACATCTCATAAGTTTTTTTACAATACATTATAGTCAAATTAAGAAAAGACAAACACATTTAGGGAAAATACAAACACGGGTTTTTAAGTTTTTTTAGAATTGAAAGAGTCAATTTCTGAATAAGAATTTTATATTAATTACTTTCAGAAGTAGTATTTGACTTCTATTTTCAATCTTTTCTTTTAATGAATTTATTAGCAATATTCTATTTATCAGCATAACATTTTAAGTAATTGAATGTTATATGTTAATTTGATTTTTTATTAAAACCCAAGCTCTAAAAACGGACTATTAAGTCTTAATAATTTTTTTTTAATATAAACTCAAAACATATGTTATTTTGAATTTAAGGGTTAAAATGGGAAGTCTTGGTAGGGAATCCTAGTTATTGTTTCCTATAGCGATTAGAAAAAACATCATATCGAAACCTATACTTGATCCAAATTATTTTATTTGTATTATGTTGGGTGGTGTAATTAAAAATGATGTATGTACGAGGAATGAAGTCGATTATAATATCGAGTATTTGTCCAAAAGTAAGTTATATGCATGAATTTGGTATTCATTCAATATATTTTAATAATTTAATGAATTTTTTTGTGTTAGATTTATTTTTTTATAAATAATTAAAAAATGGTTTTTTTTAAATAAAAAATTTTGATTTTTTTTCAAAAAAAATAATAACTGATTTTTTTCCAAGAATTAAAAAATCAATTTTTTGGAAAGTACAAAAAGTCAATTTTTTCGAAAATAATAAAAACCCGATTTTTTCCAAAAATACAAAAAATTGATTTTTTCTCGAAAATACAAAAAATTCATTTTTTCCAGAAAATACAACAACAAAAAATTGATGTTTTTCCAAAAATAAAATAAAAAAATTTTCCAAAATTATAATTTTTTTTATTTTTTCATAAAAATAAAAAAAATCAATTTTTTAAATCAAAAATAGAAATACAATTTTTTGAATCGATGAGTATTCATCCACTAATGGATTGGATATTTTTAAGAAAATTTTAATGGATTATTTTGATTCATTCATTAACAATCAAATCCATATTCATTCAATCCATCCATTTTGTCACCCCTAAGTCATACATGCGAACAACTCGTGCTGGAATTTATATACAGAAGACATTTAAAATCGTCATGTGTTCTCTGACATGGGATGCAGGGAACCGTTTGATCAAGACTGGCGGTAGGTGATCCTTGCGGGAGAGATTAGTTGTCAAATTCCTCAACATAGATACACTTGATCCTTATCTACTTGGTGGAGGTTTTTTTTGGGTCAAACTCTTTTGTGATTGGGCTTTCCACCTTTTTAGACATTTTGTCAGCCCGAAACAGTTGGCCCCAAAGGCTTTGCTATTGCATAATAATGTGAAAATTTGAGAGTATTTAGCCGACTTCGTTCGTCGGCTTGGTCTTTCTGGTGGACTCATGGTTTGCAAAAGTGGAAAAGATTAGTGAGTGAAAGCAAGTGGCCTCAGAAATATGTGCATTAAATGTAAATCTTGTCGCTTGACGTTTTGCAACGTCACTTTTACATGTGGCCTTATGTCTCTATGGTAGAGTGTGGCACTGCCATTTATAGTACTCGATTGTACTTAAGTGTTGTTTTGGACTGGGCCAATACCTGCTCTCCAGTCGGGCAGACCCAACCCAATGCTATGCTGAGGAGGCCCAACAAGGCCCAATTTCATATGTCGGGCACAAGCCTCAATAAGGCTCACCAGTTGGGCAGAAGACCCTCTTGACGGGGAAGCTCACACGTTTTCCCCACGTTCTCCACGTGTCCCCCACGCAAGGACACGTCATCAGGAAACTACCCACTTCCGAAAAAGATGGTCAGCCCACCTTCCGAAGATCACGGGGCAGTTGATCCAGGGCGAAGACCACGTGATAGTCTTCACTACGCCACGTAAGTCCTGGCAGTTACTTGTGTTGGGCTTGGCAATCTGGCCCAATGCAATGTAACTGTTGACCCTGCGCTAGGGGCACATTATAAATACCCTCTTCCACTATAGGGTCAGATATTCTATTCATTACACATTCTCTCTGTACTTGCTCTCTCTAGTTTCGATACTTAAGCATCAGAGCATCTTGCAGGTACACCCTTTTTCTCCTCCACAACACCGATAAAGGCAACAACTCACGACGCGTGGCAGATTACTGATTCCTTTTTTATCAGGTAAGATCAGTGGCGCCATATGTGGGAACCTCTGCTTCCCCGTTCTTTCTCCTGTCCAAGCACAGAAGCTCAAGAACCAAAGCAACCTTCAATCTTCATTCTAATCATGTCCAACCCACACAATAACAATGCTCTAGGATATGCCTTTACCCTCCTTCTCCAACGGGGACGAACACGGCCGTCCGCAATGAAGAAGGTGACCACATGGACAGACGCACCGCCTCTCCCTCCTTAGAAGACGTGGCCTTCAATGTCGTTCAGTGCTTAGACAACCCGACTATCTACCAGCCCATTCGGTCCCAGCTGGCGTCGATCCTACCGTGGTGGATCTGTTCGCGGCGATCAATTAAACAAACTTGATGATCTTCAGGCAAACCGAGCAGATATGGATGCTTGAGAGGGAACGACCATCACACTCTCCCCCGCGGAGACACCGTCGCCCAGTTTCCATCAGCCAGTCCCCTTCCCCGCGGAGACGCCATCGCCTGATTTCCATCAGTTTGTCTCCTCCCCCGCAGAGGACGCGGTTCATCGAGGATTCACGAAGTCTCTCTCCTCTGTCGACGGGGGGCCACCCTTGTTTGGAGCAACCTCAACAGCTGGTTTCCCATAAACGGGACAGGCCGCCCCTCAGAAAGAGCGACGTTCCCCGGTTCAGAAGAAGAAAGCCTCAGGGGGGCCCTCTCGACCGAGGAGTCCCTCACGCCGAA